TGTATTAATGGAAAATCCTGTTGGGGATTCACTGAGCTTCTGAAATCTTGATTGATCTCTTTCATCAATTTTGGAAAGTTCTAAGCATAATCTCTGTAGATATTTCTTTTGTCCCGTTCACTATCTCTTCTTCTTCTGGGACTCCAATTACATATATCTTAGACTGTGTCCCACATTCATTTTATGTTCAGTCCTGTTTCTTCCATTCTTAGGTTTTTTTGTGCTTAATTTGGATATTCTCTATTCACTTGCTTTCAGGTTCATTTGTCTTGTCGTCTGCTGTATCTGTTCTGATGTTAAGCCCATTCAATGAGTCTTAATTTCAAATATTGTCTCTTTTAGTTAAGGAATAATCATTTGATTCATTCTTATAGTTTTCAGTTCTGCATTGAAATTTCCCACTCTTTTGTCTTTTTTCCCCTATGTTTTCTTTAACATATTGATAATATTTATTTTAAAGTCTTGTCGGCTAATTTTAACACCTGAACCATCTGTGTGTGTCTCTCTTTCTGTTTTTTCTTCTGATTAATGATCACACCTTCCTACTTTTCCAAATGTCTCAATTTTTATTGTATGACAAATATCATGAATATAAATAACATAGAGAATGATGTTATTATGTTATTTTCACTCCAGAGAGGGTTTTCCCTTTTTTTTTGGTCCAATCAGGAATTGAACTAGGACAAGGCTGGGTTGCAGTTTTAATTAGATTCAACCTACTTCTGGTTTCAAATGTCATGAAGGAAAACTAGCTGGAACCTGGTTTGGATTTGCTCTATCAACTGTGAGAGATTTATTCTGACCTTCAGACTCTTCCCCCATGCCACTTACAAATTTGGCAAATGTCTAGATGGGCCATGTGTTTGAAATAGGCTCTTTTCCTCAAGCAAGACTTTGTCTCTGAAATACTTCAATACTGTAGGAGACTTTGGTCTGACTTTTAGAAGCTCCTTAACCTCCCATACAGTCTCCAGATACAGCAAATATACCATGAGGAAAATACCACTGCATATTTAGGGATTCTGAAGTTTCCAAATTGTTGCACCAGCCCACCCATTCTCCAGAATTTGTCATTTATTTTCCAGCGTACTATCCCTCAATTCATGTGCTCACAGAATTGGATAAGATTCTGAGGTAAGAGGCAGCTGTCATGGCCTTTTCACCTTAGAATGGCTCATCCCTCTCTGGTTTATTTTACTTAGTTCTCTTTGCTTTCCCAGATACATGATGTTTGTAAAAATAAGTTTTTTTCAAATTATATAGTGTATTTTTACTTTTTGCAACAGGAGTGATAGAGCAATGACCTGTTACTTCCTACTCCATCCTATTCTGAATGAGAAGTTCCTATGTCCCAGGTTTTTTTGATGTTTTAAATTCTTTAGTCTGTTCTTAGAGAGTGTCATTACATACAGTTGGTGTCATTTGCCCAAAACAAACCCAGAAAATATTAGATCATTGCCTTTTGGTACTAACACCTGTTTCATTTCATACAATGGCATAGGTTAACATTTAAGCTGATTCATCTATTTGTTAGCTACTTGTTGAGCACCAGCTAGGCAGGAATTGTTCTGCACATGACTGGGGATATAATAATGAACAGAAAAAGAAAAAAATACCTGCCCTCTCAATGCTTACACTCCACTTTGAGGAAACAGATGATAAATCAAATACAAAGCAGGGTCATCAGCTGAGAATAAGGAAGGTAGAGAATGTGTTAGTTTTTTGGGATTTTTTTGGTTTTTTTCCTATTAGATTTTTGACAAGAAAAAGAGAAGATGTGAAATGGTAAGTTTAGAGAAGAGAGAGGAGTGAATGGACTAGGGAAATATTTTAGGATTGCCAGTGTTGATTGAAAAAAATGCACAATGTGTGAATTGTGAGTCAAGTTTTATTTGGGGTAAAATGAGGACTATAGCTTGGGAGACAGCATTTCAGGTAGCTCTGAGAAACTGCTCCAAAGAGGTAGGGGGGAAGGTATTATATATGATTTTAGTGAAGAGGGGTACGTGCAGTGAAGCACACATTTTGGCAGAAGGTTGCTGCTAGTCACAAGGAGCAGATGTCATGGTTAATGATTTTAGTGCTTTTCTAGATGTGAGAAGATGCAAGAATTGGGCTCGTAAAATTTTGTCCTGAAAATATCTGTCCTGAAAATTATCTGAAGACCTGCTCTGCCAGTGTTTCCCAGAGCACAGAGTGCCTCATTCTTATCTCCACACTGATCTCCTTTCAGGGGGTGTTGAAGGTCAGCGGCTGCTAGAGGCAGATGGCAAGTGCCAATTTTTAGTTGGCATCAGGCATCGCCAAACTATTTAGACATGAATTTTGAATGGTTGGGCTTTCTTCCATCACTTTCAGCTATTAAGGTGAAAGCACGGAGTAGAAGGAGAGTAGGATTTAGGGAAGACTGGGGCCTTCTAGGCTAAGTACAGTGGAGGAGAGAAGAGCAAAGGAATCCAAGATGTGTATGCAAAGCAGCAGTAGTGATGGACCAAGGAATCTAACCTGGATAAATAAGGAAGAAAAGAGAAAAGGAAATAGTGTTAGGAACAGTGGATTGGCACTCTTGGTGGGAATGAAAAATTACTGAAGGGGTCCCTAGAGTAAGTTAAACTGTAAATATAAGAGATAGAGAGTATTTACTTGAAATCAGGATGTTGGAGGCTATATAGTTATTAATAATGACAGCAGCATTTCTCAGTAGGTGAACTACAAGCATTTGGGGCAGGGTAATTCTTTGATGTGAGAGACTGTTTCACATTGGTCCCCAGCAGTAAAAGTCTGTAGCAGTCTCCTAGGAGCCCACCCCAACCTCCATTCCCCACCTCCCCACCCCCGCACACATGCACATTTCTAAGTAAGGTCAAAGCCACAGGTCTAGGGCATGACCAGTAGATTGGGTGGTTGTGCTGGAGAGACGTCTACCAGCTAGGTTGTTTTAGGCAGCAAGTAATAGAATTCTTAAGTAATACAGATTTCTTACCTCACTTAAGAAATCAAAAGTACACAGTTTCCGTGCTCTTATCAGGGTTAGCTTCTCTGTGATTTTCTTGGCTTTTCCCTCATGATTCCACATTACTGTCAAAGTTCCAGACTTCATGACTTCACACATCCAAAGACCAAAAAAAGAAAAAAAAAAGGAAGGTTCATTTCCTTTCATACATGTCTCACTTAACGGGACCTCTCAAGGTACCATTCATTCTAACTAGTTCACGTGCCTAATTCTTAACCAGTCCTGGCAATGTAGAATGAGATTGGCATGACTGATGGAAGCCTTCTTCCTTTCGGCTGAGCCTACCTTGCCTAAGCACACTGTAGCCTGATACCTGAATTTGGTGCACAAGCAGGAAGAGAGGGGTAGCTGCTGGGTAAACAGCCTCAACAGTGTCTGCATAAGGGGTTTGTGTGCCTGTGAAGTCAGTTGGGTAGATCGTCTCTTTTATTGTTAAAGTCACTAAGAATAATAATAAAAAGAGTTGTAATGGAAGGAAGGGCAGTGGATAACTGTAATAAACAGGTAATGGGTCATACAGTAGGTCCTTGTTGGTTATCCATTTTAAATATAACAGTGGGTACATATCGGTCCCAAACTGTATTACACGGGGAGCTCTGCCTCCTATTCTGTAGAAATCTAAGTGGGAAAAGAATTTGAAAAAGAATAGATACATGTATATGTATAACTGAATCACTTTGTTGTACACCTGAAACTAACACAATGTTGTTAATGAACTATACTCCAATATAAAATAAAAAGTTAAAAAAAAACCCCAAGTAATGGGCATTTTAGCAGACCTGAGGTTTATAGGGAGGACAGAGGTGACAAAGAGGAGGAAGGATACCTATCCCACCTCCATACCCTGCAGTGTGTGGGGTGTAGAAGGAAAAAAACTACTAATGTCCAGTGGATGTTTTTATTCTCCCCATTTTCTGCTCCCAACCTAGATGTCCTTAAAAAAAAGGATATTCTTTTAAAAATAATAAATACAGAAAGTACCAGTTTTCAACATGTCTTGAATCGAAAGAAAAAGAAAATGTGTAAGAAATACTTATTGGATGTAGAAGATCATGATTGAATGCACAATATGGTATATCTTACATCTTTAATTCAAATTAACAAATACTTATTGACCACCATGCATATGAATATCATGATACTGTTCTCTGTACAGATGATGAAGATAAATTAGGAAATCTCCATCCTCTGAAGGTCACAGTCCCTTGGAGTTTTAAATATATATATAAATAATATAAATATATAAGTAATATAAGTTATGTAAAACAATATATAAATAATATTAGTAATCTAAAGCAGTCAGTAAATGATTTGTACTAACAAAAAATTATGGTGAGGTAGAGATTTACTATTTGGGGTCCCTCTATAAGCTAGCAGAGTAACTGTTTTAGGACCATTTCTTTTTTTTCCACATCTTTTAATGGTATCTGGGAATGAGCTTCACTAGATTTAATGTTTCTTTAGTACCTTGCATCTTCTCATTAGAACCACAAGTTAAATGAATAATCCCTATTTTAACTAAGTTGATGAGCCAAGTCGTCAATAGGTGGACCTCAGTGTTCATATATAAAATTTGGAAGGCCAGCACTTATACATATTGTATATTAACATCTCTAAACCTCTCTTCATACACCAGGCTCAGTTTTTCGTGCATCATCTGACATATGTTGTTGGGTTATCACATGATGACATTTTATGCTAGGATGAAAGGGGGCTGAATAGTTTACTCACTGGCAGAATGTACCAACAGTATTTAAAACTGAAAACCTCGCATATTAGAAGGTAGACTGTTTCCTACGTATAATTTTAACAACATGCAATGGAGTTTTGTGGTTTAATTTTAATGTGTTTACATGCTTTTGTCAGTAGGTATATGCTTCGATCAGTACAATTAAATAAGGATTTCTCTAGAAAGAAATATATTGCTCTTAGTTTTTAAAATTTAGAATATGAGCATATTTTTCATTCTTTCTTTTCTTTTTTAAAGAGTCAACACAGACTGTCCAGGCTCTGCAGTATTCAACTGCTGATGGTCCCCTAACAGCAAGTAAAGATTTAGAAATCAAAAACTTAAAAGAAGAAATTGAAAAACTAAGGAAACAACTAAGAGGTAAATTTCTGTGATTCATTATTAATTCTGTTTAGTAGACATTTTAAAATGTTTATTCACGCACAAAACATTTATTGAGTACCTGTTATGTGTTACATGATGTGAGCTATGTGCCAGTGAGGGAAAAGCAAATAAAATGGTTCTGCTCTCAAGGAGCTCATGTTCTGGTCTTGGGAAAAGACAAACAAATAGTTTTTTGCAGTACATGTTAAAAGGCCAGAAGAAAAATAAACATAGGTACATAGAGAGTACACAGGAGGAGCACCTTACCCAGAATTACATGAAAAAAGATGACTTTTTGGAGGACCTATTCATTTGGGATATTTGTCTGGCAAAGCATTTATATGAGTAGTTCATTTTTCAGTGTAGGTTAATTAAAATTAATTTTGAATTGTTGATATGCCTGTTACATCCATTTATTAATTTATTCCATTCATTCAACAAATATTTATTGAGTAGCTACTATGTACTAGGTGTTGTTTTATGATCTTGGGATGCAGTACTGAACAAAATGATAAAAATCTTTGTCCTTGCTGGGGTGGAGGGCAAACAACAGACATTAAACAATAACTATGTAACTTTGTAAATGATACAGTATGTTAGAAGGTGATAAGTGCTTAAAAATAGAAAAGATTAAGGAGAATGGGTCAAAAGTGTAAGATGAGGTGTTTTATAATTTTAAATAGTGTGATCCATGTGAGAAAAATATTGAAGGAGTTAAGGGGCCTAGCCATGCAGTTAAATGGGAAACACACGTTACATGCAGACGGATCAGCCAGTGCAAAGGCCCTACTGTCAAAATGTGCCTCGTGAGTTCAAATAAAACATAAAAGGACAGCAAGGCTAGAGCAGAATGAGCAAGCAGGTGGAATGGATGGACATGAGGGTAGAGAAATTAAACAGGTGGAGAGGGCTCATTGCCTGATCAGTGGAGTCTTACTGACTGTTAGGTCTTTGATTTGTTCTGTGGGTGAAATGGGAGCCTTCTGCAGGGTTTAGAGGCATCACATGATCTCAGTAAGAGTAAGGGGAGAGAGAGAAGGTACTATTTTGGCTAGAATAGTCAGACCGCTCTAGAAAAGTAGTTTTAGGCCAAAATAAGTGAAGAAAAGAAGGATCTGACCCAGTGTCTTTTACAAAAAGGATTATTTAAAATGCAATATTAAGGCACATGGAGATTTTAAATTTGAGCATAATTTATGCTGTTCTATTTTTTTAAGTGGCTGTCCTCCTAATAAACATCTCCTTATCAAATTTCTGTAGCTTTATCTTTTTAAAACTAAGTTAGATTGGGAATATGATAAGTAGAATCATTTACTTTGCTTTGATATCAACACTAAAACATTATCAGTGGCACTGAATGTATTTGAGTTTTTTGGCACTAAGAAAGCAGTGAGACACAAGACACAACTAGGATGTTTAGTGATCCGTATCACTTCAAAGAAGTGATATGGATTCGGAAAAACCTATTTACGTAAGTCTATCTCACTTATATGTTCTAGGAGGGATTTTTGGTTTTTTGTTTTGTTTGTTTGTTTGTTTTTAAGATTTCTTGGGATTTTCTGTGCTGACCATCATCCATCTGCAAATAGGAACAATTTTCTTTTGCCCTTTCTGATCTGGATGTTTTGGGGTTTTTTTCCCCCTTATTTCACTGGCTAGAACTTGCAGTACTTTGTTGAAGAAGAGTGTTGAGAACAGACATCCTGGTTTTCTTTCCTATCTTAGAGGGAAAGTATTAAGTCTTTCACCTTTAATTGTAATATTAGCTGTAGGACTTTTATAGATACTCTCATCAATTTAGAAGCTCTCCTCTATTTCTGTGTTTCTAAGGGTTTTATCATGAATGGGTTTGAATTTTATCAAATATTTTTTCTGCACTGATTGCTATGAACATGTGTGTTTTTTTTTCTTTAGTTAACCTGTTAATATGGTGGATTAAATTGGTTGATTTTGAAATATTGAATCATTGGAATATGCACATGCCTGGTCATGGTGTATAATTATTTTTATATATTAATTCTATTTCCACTGTTTTGTTCAGGAATTTTTAATCTGTATACATGAGAGATACTCATCTTTGTTGTATTTTTCTTTTTTTTTTTTTGTACTGCCTTTGCCTGGGTTTTTAGTTTGTTTTCTTCTTTTGTTTTTTGGCTTTTTAATGAGATATGATTGACACGTAACATTATCTTAGTTTCAGGTGTACAACATAATGATTCAATATTTGTATATATTGTGAACTAGTCACCTTAGTAAGATTAGTTAACTTCCATCACCGCATATAGTCATAAATTCTTTTTTCTCGTGATGAGGACTTGTAAGATCTATTCTCTTAGCAACTTTCAAATATACAATACAGTATTATTAACTGTAATAACAGCACCACATTGTACATTGCATCCCCAGTATTTATTTATTATATAACTGGAAGTTTGTACCTTTTGACCATCTTTCCTTCTTTAACCCACCCTGCACCCCCGTCTCTTGCAACCACCAGTCTTCTCTATATCTGTGAGTTCAGTTTGTTGTTATTGTTGTTTTTGTTTTAGATTCCACATGTAAGTGAGATCTTACTGTATTTGTCTTTCTCTGTCTGATTTATTTCACTTAGCACAGTGCCCTCAAGATCCAATCCATATTGTCACATATTGCAAGATTTATTTTTGTGGCTGAAAAGTATTCTATTGTATATATACAATTCCAGAAGTGGAATTTCTGGATCATATGGTAGTTCTATTTTTAATTTTTTGAGGACTCTCCATACTGTTTTCCATAGTAGCTGCACCAATTTACATTCTCACTAATAGTACACACGGGTTCCCTTTTTACCACATCTTTGCCAACACTTTCTATTTCTTATCTTTTGGATGAAAACCATTTTAACAGGTGTGAGATAATGTTTCATTTTGGTTTTGATCTACATTTCCTTGATAATAAGTGATGTTGAGCACCTTTTCATGTTGGCCATTTATATGTCTTCTTTAGAAAAATGTCTATTCAGCTCCTCTGCCCATTTTTTGATAGGATTGTTTGTTTCTTTGCCATTGAGTTTATGAGTTCTTTGTACATTTTCTGTATCAACTTGTTGATCTTAAAAGTAAAAGTCAATTATTTTACCAGAAAAAATGGGTTTATTTGGGAATAGCAGAGAATTGCAGTTTGGGACAAGCAAGCCATGGCAAAAATCATAGGCAAGTTTAACAAACAAAGTGAGGAACATTTTATAGAGAAAAATGAGGAAGTCGGTAAAGGTTGTTTTGAATGAAAGTCCTTTGGAGAAAAGTGAGAGTTCAGGGTGAAGATGGTTTCTCATTGGCTTAGTTCCTGGGGTAGTTGATTTCTTATAGGAGATGTGATGTACTGTCTTTCCTGTTGGGGCCTGTAATTGATGATTCCATTCTTGGAACTGTAATTGACAGTTCTTCCTGTAATTGATGAAGAGAGTTACTGTGTGAGAGTTCCCCCTTCTGGCCCCCCAGCTCCATTTTAGTGAGACTTCCCTTTATTAACTTTCACAAACACCTTGTCAAATATTTGTTGATTTGCAAACATTTTCTCCCTTTCCAATGTTGCTTTTTAATTTTGTCTATGGTTTCCTCTGCTGTGCAGAAGCTTTTTAATTTGATGTAGTACCATTTGTTGATTTTTGCTTTTGGCTGTGGTATCAGTGTAATGCTGGGCTCATAAAATGAGTTTGAGAGTATTCCCTCTTTTATTTTTTGAAAGAGTTTGAGAAGGATTGATATAAATATCCTTATTTTTTTTCTTTAGTTGCTTGAAGTGTAAAGTTAGGTGTCTGAGGGTTGTTTTTCTTTCTTTGTTTTTTTTTTTTTTTTACCGTAGGTGTTTATTGCCACGAACTTCCTTCTTAGAACTGCTTTTGCTGCATTCCAAAAGTTTTGGTATATTTTTTTCCATTTTTGTTTGTTTCAAGATTTTTTGAAATTTCCCTTTTAATTTCTTTTTGACCCGCTGGTTACTAATGTGTTAATTTCCACATTTCTGTGAATTTTTCCAGTCTTTCCCGTTATTGGTTTCTAGTGTTATACCTTTGTGGTTGGAAAAGATCCTTGGTATGATTTCATTCTTTCTAAATTTGTTAAGACTTGTTTTGTAAACTAACTTGATATATCCTGAAGAATGTTCCATATGTGTTTGAGAAGAATGTAGATTGTGCTGCTGTTGGATGGAATGTTTTGTATATATCTGTTAGATCCATCTGCTCTGAAGTATAGGTTATGTCCAATGTTTCCTTATCAATTTTCTGTCTAGATAATGTATCCATTGTTGAAGGTATAATATTGAAGTCCCTTACTATTATTGTGTTGTTGTCTATTTCTGTCTTCAGATATGTTGTATTTACTTAATATATTTAGGCATTACAATGTTGGGGTCATAAAAATTTTTAATAGTTATATCCTCTTGATGAATTGACCCCTTTATTATTATATAATAAACTTTTTTTTGTCTCTTGTTATTATTTTTGACTTAACCTCTCTTTTGTCTGATAAAAGTGTAGCTACCCTTATTCTCTTTTGGTTTCCATTTGTATGGAATATCTTTTTCCATCCCTTGATTTTGAGCCTATGTGTGTCCTTAAAGCTGAAGTGAGTCTTATAGGCAGCATGTAATTGGGTATTGTTTTTTTAATCCATTCAGCCACTTGAGGTCTTTATTGGAAAATTTAATCCATTTATATTTAAAATAATTATTGCGTAGGTACGGATTTACTAATGTCATCTTATTGTTTTCTGGCTGTTTTACAGTTCCTTTGTTCCTTTCTTCCTCTCTTACTGACTTCATTTGTGAATTGATGATTTTCCATAGTGGTGCTTTTATTTCCTTCTCTTTCGTGTATCTACTGAAGGTTTTTGCTTTGTGGTTACTGTGAGGCATACATAAAATATAACAGTCTATTTTATGTTGATGACAACTGTTTATTCTTCCTGTTTATTATGTAATTGTTTCAATTATTTCCTCTTCAGATGTTTTAGAAG